AGACTTTGAAAGTCAAAACAAGAGAAAACTAATACAAACTACATAAAACACATTACACTATATTTTATTTACATATTTACTTAAAATATAAGCTTAGATTTCTAAACAGATGGGAAACATTTTGACTGAAAGCTATAAGACAAGTGATTATGATAAGTTTATGAAAAGAAAGTTATTTTTTGCATCAGCCACCCATTTGCTGGTGAACCATACCTTTTTACAAAAAATGTTTTAATTTCCTTAGAAATCAATCAGTTCACTGTGCATCAGAAATGTTCTTGTCAGTTTTTTCCATGTTAAAATGCTTACTATTGGCTTTACATACTGCATTATTTTGTTGAGCACAAAGACGAAAGTCTTAAATGATCTTGTTCTCAGGCAGGTGCCATCATGGCATGCCAGTTAGCATTGCTGCCTCGAGTCACTATGCCTAGGTTCTGGGTCTGATTCTGGCCTGGTGCACATTCTGTGCGGAATTAGCCTGTTCTCCACAACAATCACATGTTTTTTTTCCCCTGGGAGATCCGCTTTATTTCCGCAGTCCAAAACATGCTTTGTAGGTTAAAAGGCATCTCGAAATTTTGTCCCATCTGTGCATCTCTTTGGGCCTTGAAATAAACTGGCTTCCCTTCTAGATTGGATCCTGCCTTGAGCCCTGCTGGGTTAGGCTTTGGCTCTTGACAAATAAGCAGTTATTGAAAATGGATAGATGAATGATCAAATACCATTTTACATTCCCCTAACACTTTCTGTGCCCTTGGACACCACCATTGCCTAACCCTGAAAATCAATTTGCACATTTGTAACATGATTTAATGTCAGTGCCTCACTACAAATGGGAGGCACTGTGGAGCCTTTATGGTGTTTTAGTCTTTGGGTTGTCTGTTGCTCTATACAGAAGTGATTAGGTAAACTGAATTATCTTATCGAGGGACAATTCAAGGAATGATAATGAGAAGCAGTGAGCAGACAAAAAGGTGGGTTGGGGTGGAAGCTGACCTTGAAAAAAAATTAAATTGAGGGACTTTAATCGCATACTTTCTTAGGCAGTATTTCAATTTTAACACAATTTAAAGACATTTCCTGTTGCCATCAGAAGCAAAGATGGCTGGCAATTTCATAGCTTAAATGGGGCTGGGGTAAAATAGGAAGTGGCTACTCCACTGTAAGCAGAGTACGGCCGTCTGAATCCCACTCCGATGCCTGTGGTGTACGATGGGCCTTGGGCCTGTTCCCTGGCCTGGTTAAGAAGTTGCGAGGGATGAGATCCAGCGAAGGACCTCTTCACTTAATTGGAATAATCCCCTGTAGTGTCATGTGAGAACAGCGCTTGTCCGGAGTGTATGGTAATTAATTGTAAATCTTAGCCTCTCATAAAAGGAAAAAGAAAAAAAACACGCTTAAAGACCATTCCTTTTCTTTTCTGGGGGGTGGTGAAAAGTACATCCAGCCCGAAGCCTCAGTGCAGTTTGTTGAAAGGAGTTTGCAAGCATTAGATTGCTTTTAACGACAATGGCGCACATTGTGCAGAGTGGGAGGTTTCATTCAAAGAGTCCCTAATCCAATAAGAGAATCAGTTCTGCACACTGTGGGGATTGAGGCAACACATCTTTAAGCAGCCTCTCACACATACACTCTGCTTGTCTGAAGAGATTTTTTTTTTAAATCTCTGTTCCTTTTCATTTGTTATCAAGTGTGGCAGACTGCAGATACGTTTTTCAGCCTCTCATGGACCGCAGTCTTGTGGCTTCATTGCTGGAGATGGATTTGGGTGAAGCAAACAAGCAGTTTCTGAGTCTATGTGATAACACAATCCAAACAAGGGAAATGAGAAAAATTATAGAGACTTATACATTTCTCTTCCTGACTTAGAGATTGGTGTCCGTGGTGTCCATTGGTTGTAGGTACCTTCCAATTTAATGGATTTAGAGATTTAATTACTTAAGATTAAATCAGTCTCTAAGTCCATTAAATTGGAAGGTACCTACAACCATGGTGTCCATTGGCAGGTCTGCAATCTAGTACTTTATGACATTAATAAAATAATTGCTTTTTGTAGAGCTGCAGGCCACAATCACATTGTGTAGCATGCACAAAAGAGATCTTCTGATAATTTTGCCTCAGTTGTTTTGAAAGGTTTGAATAAACTTTTATTTCCACTACATCTGTTTGCCATGAATATATTAATATATAGCATACTGTAGGTATTTGGGTAAAAAATAAACTTCTGTGAACATGATTTGCAAAGTCCAGGGCCCCCAAGCATTGGGAAAGTTAAAATGCTTTTTTATGACTGTGGAACACAAGCCTTTTCTGAACTACAAAATACAAACATAATTTTAGGCACAGAAATCATTCTAAATGTGCAGACAAATAGTTTTTTTTGCTTAATTCTGCACTCTCACACATCCCTTGGAATTCTGAATAATTGAGATTGAGAAGTGAGATAATTGAGGTGTTCACAAAATCGCATAGATTTAAGGCTTTTTGGAGATGTACATGTACATGATCAGTTGAAGATGCTGTCTCTCTGGCTCTACATACAGCCTTGAAACACCTGGACACTAAGAATTCGTATGTGAGAATGCTGTTTGTGGACTACAGTTCAGCATTCAATTCCATCATATCCAGTCAACTGGTGACAAAGCTCAGGGGATTTGGTCTGTGCAACTCTGTCTGCAACTGGGTGCTGGACTTTCTAATCGAGAGACCACACGTGGTGCGGATAGGTAATAAAACATCGACACCACTCACCCTGAGCACTGGAACCCCACAAGGCTGCTGTCTGAGTCCAAGGTTGTACTCCCTGTTCACTCACGACTGCACAGCAAGACACAGCAACAACCGCATCATTAAGTTTGCGGATGACACCACTATAATAGGCCTGATCAGTGATGATGACGAGTCCACTTACAGGGATGAAGTCATACAGCTGCTTAGGTGGTGTCATAGCAATAACCTCGACTTGAAGGTAAATAAAATGAAAGAGCTTACAGTGGACTTTCGGAGACACAGGCCACACACTCAGTATTGATGGAATGGAAGTGGAAACAGTCACCACCTTAAGGTTTGTGGGAATTCACATCTCTTAAGATCTAACTTGGACTGTGAACACTGACTGTATCTTGAAGAAGGCTCAGCAGCGCCTTTATTTTTCGAGATGCCTCAAGCGATGGGGGATGCCAGTACCTGTGTTGGTGAACTTCTACCGCTGCACCATCAAGAGCACACTCACCAACGGGATCACTGTGTGGTACGGCACTCCAGAAAATCGTCAATATGGCCCAAAAGATCGTCAGCTGTGGTCTCACCGAGATTAAACAGCTCTAAAAGGACTGTGGTAGAATTCTGGCCATCACAGAGGACAGTCACCACCCCAGGCATGTGCTCTTCACCCCACTGCCCTCAGGCAAGAGATACAAGAGCATACGGACACTTGCCACCAGATTCCTCAATAGCTTCTATCCACAAGCAGTGCAATTGGCGAACACATTTAGCCATGCCCCTTGGACCACACCTACACCATCTACCTCATTATGATTTCTTATTTATTGCACATCTCTAGTCGTTGTTTACACGTCTGCATTGTTTACATTCAAACTGTTTACTGTTTACTTACTGTACATTGTCTACTCTTTATTTGTATATTGTCTTGATGCACTGTCTGCACTTTGTGTTTTGTGCTTGTTTTAACAATCGAGAGACTTTCTGTAAGAATTCCATTGTACCAGTACATGTACCGGTTACTGTACGTATGGCATTAAAGTTCAAGTTCATGAGGTTTGATCAGAAGGCAGATATGAATGTAAGGCACAATGTTTAATAAGGGGTAATTTCAGATGTTTTCATAAATTGAGAGGAGTATTTTTCAACTGGAAGGACAGATCAGGCATCTATACACATTACAAATAAATTCACAGCAGAGAGTAATGCTACACATGGCCTTAAAATACATTATGCATTCTCACAGCTGTGAAAAAACAGTAAATATCCCACCAAATTCTTATTAAATTTCAAAAGCCTGCCATTTACATAGCCATGTACATTTTGAACCCAATTAAAGATTTTCTTTAATATGCCCCTTTCCTTATTATGGCACTTAATGTTGCAAGATCTCAAACATAAATAAAATGACTCAACAGAATTTTGACAACTGCTTTGAATTCCATTAGGATTACTTTGCATATTCTATGTTTACTGTGTCCTATACTCTAGAAAATCATACTACAGTATATCAATTCCTCAACTTAATGACTATCTGTAACTTAAGAAAAAAATGCAATTGTAGGTGTGTTTCAAAGATCAGGTTTATTAATTATAATATAAAATGTATTCAACACAATTTGGTTTTCATTTTACATTACTTAAACTCCAACTGAACAACCTCCTCAAAGCATCATGTTAAATTAGGTAACAACCTCAAAAAACATCAGATGCTGAATGGCTGGAACTGACTTTTCTCAAGCAGTTTTAACAAACTGATTCCCATCAGTTCTAGTGCACATAAATAAAACACTATAAAAGCATATATGTTTTTTCATTTTAAATGTTTCCTATATGCACAATAAATACAGTACATACCTGACTATTTTAAAATATCATTGAAATGCATGCAAAAGCAGCTCATTTGTGTATTCACTGTTATCACAGCTGCTTGCTAATTTTCAAAGAAGTCAAAATGTCATTACAAAATCTCAGGAATTATTGTGTGTAATACAAATGTTTTGTTTAACTTTTAACTGAAATGCTGTGGGCATAGTTTGTAAGAATACAGGATACTCATTAACAAAACCTAAATGGAACATAATACCAATTTTACTTTTAAAGGAGCAGTGTGGCTTTTGATGCCTCTTACACAGCATTTAAAGACCTACAATTAAATAGAATTAGCACTATTCTACTTCAAAACAATGTGCGTAAAAATTAAGCACAAAATGTCTGTTTTTTAAAATATTTTAAATATATATATTTAAATTTATACAATACAATATAATTGTAATAATTCATACAATATAATTGTAATAAGGTAAGTAAAATATTTTAAATTTACTATAAGTAGAACTGCTTATCTATAGTAAGAATCGATGTAATTCAATGTTTCTTTTGAATCTCATACCTGAGTTAAAATCCTGAGCCATTTCTGTAAAGCTGAAAATTCTAATCACTGAGATGTTTTGTACACATTATAATCCACATTAAAGAAAGTGACAGAGATTCCTTCACATTATTAATCAGTAATGATCCTAAGACCTCAAAGAATATTTCTAAGCAAATGTGTGATTACAAATATTTTTTTAAAACCTTAAACTTACAAAAAGATAAGAGGAATACTGTACATCTACATAAAACTTTCACACAACACCAACATTACATAGTCCATACCACTAACAGCTAGTTCAATTAAAATATCAAAGTTAAAATCTCTAAAAATGTTGAAAAGTAACAACACTGCAGTTCTTTTCCATTAATGGGTGCCATTTGATTTTGACCATTTTAGATATTTAATCTGAGCTTTCCATGAAGCTTTTAGTCACACTGAATATTAATAATGGCACTACACTCCCAGCAGCGACCTCACTGCATGTTTAGTTGCTATGGCAGTTCCCAAAAGTAAAACAGCCTGCGGACAGCTTAAGGCATGGGTACACACCTTCATTAAAATAATAAAAAGAAAGAATTAATTTTGCAGCTCTATAGGATATGGCTTCTTAAAAAGAACATGCCACTTCCTATGAATGGCAGTCACATTCACATTTAACCCAATATCCAATTCTATTTTAATAAGCTCGTTTTGCTACCAAACAACCCTAACCTTTTAAAAATGTCCTGCCCTTGCAAGACAAGAATCCTTCAGCAATGTCATTTCAAACAAAGGTCATCTATTTTTTTGTGATCAAATGTTTAAACCCAGGTACTCTTCACTGCTAATCAGCTGATGGTTTCCCCCCCAAAAAAATATCTGTGCAAATGCACGAGGTGATCCACAGGCCACATCAGAGGCAACATAATGTGGGCTCAGCGCTGGCTACGGGTCATTACTACATACAGCAGTCCCAGGAGCAGAATTCCCCGGAGGCCCACTACAGCAATGATCAGCAAGATCAGAACAGACATCAAGGGCTCGATGACCTGGGTGCCCATATTCCAGCGAGGGAAGCCCAGATTCACCAGGAACTGGTTCATCTCTGCGAAGGCTGACCTCCCGGAGCCCCTGGGTGTCATACGAGCGTTCTCTGCAGAAGCTCCTCCAGCTGTTTGATGGATAAAACCCTGAGGAATTAAGGAAGCAAACCTTACCACCAAGAGCAGCCATGCTTTTAAAAGAGACTTTCAAGCACGATAATCTATATGCACTTATCCTATCAGTTTTTTTTTAAACCTGTAATTCAAATAAAGGATATTAATCATTCAAAATATTAGATCCAGTTTGTACAGGCATAGAAAAATCAAAAGCATAGATCAGCAACTTTAATGCATATCATCACATTTTTTGCACAGAGTGAGCTTAAGTAGTAAATGTCCATATATGAGCCTAAGATCATCAAGACATATTTTATCCCTATTTCTGCAGTGCTACGCAGACTGCGACAACCTGATGTTGGTTCATCGCAAGTTTATGCCAAGCATTGCTGCTGCCAGTTCATACCACTGGCCAGACTGGAGTAGAATGGGTAACAACCCATGCTGAGGAGTATAACAGCTCCTAAAACCCAACAATCTTCCAGTCTTGGGTTCAATGCCTGAATCCACTGGTCCATGCTGCACCCTTTAGAACCCTGAAACATTTTAATTTTTCTCCTGCAGTCTGCTTTCCACTCCTGCATTTCTTGTTTTTAGAATTATTATATTTACTGTATAAATAATATAATACAATTGTAAAAATAGTTCCTTTCAGCAAAAATAATCTCTTAAAAGTAGTCCAAAAGGATACTGCTCCATCTAGTGGCAAATTATTTAATTTTTTAATGAGTGCCACGTTCAAAATGGTAATTTACTCGTCCACCAAAACGTATATAGTAAAGATTCAGTGGTGCCAGTCTTCACAAACATAATATCCCCACCATTAAAATTGTACTATGTTAAACCGGATTATTAAGGTCTGTGCAGCTTGATACAGAATAATTCGCGTTTTCATTCTTATTATTTATTCGTTCGTATTTTACTTTCTCTGCATGCTAGTCGGTATAAGACAGCATATTCTTTTCCTGAAATTGTGAATCTCCCTCCCTTTGTGCACAATTTTTAATGGAAAAAAAACAATGCACCATGGAAGACGTTAGGGCTCGATACTGCTTTATATCTTCTATATATAAAGACTGTTCTGCCGGAGGTTCGTTCACCTGACCATATAAAGTTCTTACTCGACGTTGCAGGTTCAGGTCCTCTCGGCGACTGGACGGCTTGCGTACCCGAGGGTCGTCGTCCTGCACGATCTCTCCATTAGCCAAAATACGAACCATTCTTAGGCTGCCGAGTTCACAACACAGCCAACTGCGGGACACACAAACCTGCACCTCTGTAAAAGAAATGTGCTATTCGATACATGATCTTTTTTCTAAATATAAGGTTATATGAAAACCTTATGCTTTTCCACCACCTTGCCTACCTGCTTTTATCAGTATTTGAGCCTTAAATACTGCGAGTCATTACAACAAAATATGTGATATTATTTACTACCAATATTTAATATATGTATTACATTAAAATGCATTAGGAACTATTTGTGCCGAGTCACTGAATCTGCGTGCATTTAGAGAATGGTGTACTACAAGAGTCGGTCAAAGCACAAGAAAGATACCACCAGTACGGGGAAAAATTAGAATTACTGACAAACACGCGATGTGCTTTTTAAAACCAAAACAAGAACACTGCAACTTAACAGAGATCTTTATATGGTGTGTTTACATATCATAACGAAAATGTTGTTGGAAATCTAGTAAATACGTGCCTGAACATTTTGCCTACTGCTACAATGAGAATCATTGTAACAACCCAGCCCAGTTTATAATTTTACCACTATATGTATTATGTTAGACGTTCTCTCTGAACTATGAACTGCCTTAAGCAAGCAGTAATTATTAATCAGCACATAATTTGTAAACGTACCACTGCTTTAAAGAAATCCTTTTTTCTTCCTGTCTTCCACGTCACGCTTACGCTTTCCACGCCACGCCTGTATATCACATGTCTACTCACTACGCTCTTGAGCCCAGCTATATGAGAGGCAGGCTGGGGGCGCCATAGTGCGTATGTACTGTACAAACAAGTGTATGTAGCCACTTGTTTGTATATTTTTACTGAACTGTATTTTTTTACGCACAAATAGTTAAGATGTTTAAATAACCTAAATTTCTGGTTTACGTGAAAGGAAAGTAACAAGATCCTTCTGTCAAAGTGCTTTGTGACACAAAATATAAAATACAAATGCATAATCTTATATACAAGTAGGAAAAAATGTTTCAGCTAATTAGTGAGAATATAATAGTGACACCAAAATACAAAAAAGGATATAATTAAAATGTTTATATAATTTAAGGTTAACTCCCAGAAACAGTTATATGTATTTATTCAAAAAGTTTATTCTTTCTAAAAAATATAATTATCATAATAAGAATAATAAAAAAAACTGTATGTGACTATGACACATTGAAGCAAAATGTTGTCAGATTTAAGAATGAAAAACAATGAATAGATAAAGCATTCTGTAATTTATGACAGACCTTCTATCAAGTAAACACATAATCAGGCTACACAGATTATATGTGCATATTACACATCGAACTAAAAGTGGAGAAGCAATGTAGATATGAATCTGTTTTTAATACCTGAAGTGCTTCTTCTTCTAATTGCTTAGTTCAAATCTTCCATAACTCCATGCCTTTTGATTGAGTTTATAACAAAAGTCCAGGATGTATGGCAACAGCCAAGTTCAATCTGCTGGCTGTAATTTGTTAAACATTATTAGTACTGTACTGTACATAATCAGAAAATAAATGCATTTCTTTAAAAAAATGTCTTATTAAAGGTCTACCACTTATCTCTAAATACTGAAGTATTAATTTTACATAACATTCCCGAAGACCTGTACTATTATTTTGCTGCTCTGGTGTCAGTCTAGAAAAGAGCATCCAACACAGTGAACAGTGAAACTAGAACCAGAGGACATCAGTGGAAGATATGTGGAGGTGCAATTTAAACCTAGAAAGGCAACTCTTCTTTACCCAAAGGGTTGTGGGAGTATGTAACAAGCTACTCAGCAGTGTTGTTGAAGCCAATATTTTGGCTTCCTTCAAAAATTGCCGGATGAGTTATTAACTACCAAATTTGGCAGATTGGCTGAATCTTGTTTGTATTCTTTTTTGTTTTAATTAGGAAAAGAGAAATGAATCCAATTATCTTGTGTTATATTTCAGTTTAGTTTCATTTAGGTTTTTGTTCCCTCACTGAGTGAAAAGGAGGGAATAGAATACCTGTGTGGCATTGTCCCAACCAAGCAATGCTCTGCGCAAGGGGCAATAAGAGAGCTGAGTGAGATGTGAGTAAGCAGTTCTGTTAGGGAAGGCCAGAGAAATGGGGCTCCAACCTTGAGTGTATGTGTCAAAAGCATAGTGTAGTGCCCCCTGGTGGAAACAATACAGAACGCCACAGCTGAGGAAGTACAGACCATACTGCGGTCTCTGGAGTCCTGTTTTCCAGACTGAATCCTTCAGTGGGACCAGCTCCACAGGGTCTAACCGCGCAAGAACCAGTTCATCCTCTAGAAGAGCTCCAAAGCTGGTAGAGGGGTAGGCTGCCCAGAGTCCAGACTCATCAACCCCCAGAGAGACCTCGTTGTGACCCTGCCAGCCCACACCTGACCCGGAACTTCTAGGGACTGCGAGATCATACAGCTGAACCCAGGCTGCCAGGGCTCGCTTTTCCAGGCTGTAGCGGATGAGGGTTTGAGTGAAGGCCTTGAGGTAATAGAAGGAGCCATTGTAGACAGCATGTCCAGTTCCTGAATAGCTGCAGGGCAGGTAGTGAGGTGGAGAGGAGGGATTATCTGGGAGACCAAGGAAAAGCAATTATAACGAGTGCATTTTGTAGTTTTAAACTAATTTATTAAAATATCTACTTGTTGATTTTTTTTTCATATTAGCTAAGTGTTACAACTGCCAGAACAATAGTTGTATAAAAATCTATAGAATACATTTTTTCATTTTTTTAATGTTCAAAGTACATTATAGTGCATGGTCAGATATCACTAAAATAAACATAAACAATTAAACTGTAACAATAAATGTTACACTTAAACTGTAAATATTACAGTGTGGATAGGTTTAGTCCTGTACAATAAACTATACTTACATACAACAACTTGTCTAATAATGTAGATTGTTATGGTGATCTTTATGATTCTATGTAATAATAATTTTCTGGAATGATTTCTTGCATGTTTTGTAAGAATAAAATGAATGTACTGTGTAATATTTCATTCCAAATCAGATGAACCAGATTAAGTGAAGTTTACCATGAACATTTTTTCAATCCCTTAAACTCCTAATAACACAGCCCCTAATCCTCATTAAAGACGTGCCTTTCTGCTCTATACAGTATTTTCAGTTACCCTGTTTCAGAGCTTTAAGGTCCTTGAACTCCAGTAGGGTGCTACCAAAAAGTTTATCAGCCACATAGATTGGTCCAACAGGAAACCAGGGGTCCATAAACCAGGCTCCCTCCTTACTACCAAAGTGAGCCACAGTCTCAGAGAGCCCAACTGAAATCAGAGTCCCAGAGCAATTATTCTCCAGCGCTGATGAAGAAGGGCAGAGAAATGGAGAGCAGATTTCATAATCACATTGTATAAAAAACAAATACCACATTTCTTCAAGGGATGGCCTCTGACATATTGTTGTATTCTAATTATCTTGTGAGAAATATACCAAGCCATCTGGCCAGGTCAGTTGGATGCAGTCTTAACACTGCTTTTGAAGTTCTGAAAGAATTGTAATATTGCATGTAATATTGCATGTATAAAAACTGTTTAATTCAGAACATTTTGAGTGCTTGGTTCTGGAAATCCATGTCATCACTGCATGGACATCACTTTACATCGTAGCCGAAGGAACTGTGATAAAGGCAGAGAGTTTTTAGTGTGTTTGGGGTGAAATGAGCTGTACAGGAGATAACCGTGTGAATCTTGGGTTTGAATAGACTGAAGTAGAGAGTCGGGGATGGTTAATGGATAGGTTTATGTCTAGAAATGCAAGAGTAGTGGGAGATATGTTAACCGTATAATTGAGGGAGGGGTGGAAGCTGGTGAAGTGATGCAGGAAGTGCTCAAGCTGGTCATTAGAGCATGACCACATGACAGACTAAAACCTCTCTCCCTTTTTCACAGTTCCTTTGGCTTCAGAGAACATGTTAGGGCTGTGAAGATTAAACATTTCTCCAAGTCCATAGTTTCTCATTTCACCTCAGACAGCCTTGATCACACTGATCTCTCCGTCTGCGTTCTCAAGGAAGGGTTTCTTAACTCCCATAGCAGAAAGACATCAGAAACAAAAAATATCCTGAGACTTGGTTCACACCATCCCCCTTCTCTTAATGACAGACTTGTTTTCGTGTAATCTTCTCTGTTCACATGCAGGTTTCGACTTCACCCCTCTCTTCACCTCTTTCTGCCTCTCCCCTGCTCCCGCATCCTCCACTCTCCCAGCTTTTGTTCTCCTGTGCTATTTAATCTTTGCTGTCTGTCCTGTCTTTCTCACACCTGAAGAAGGCTCCACAGCCGAAACGTTGTGTTTTCTTTTTTCTCTTTTCAGCATGGAATAAACCTATTACTTGTTCCTTTGCAGCCTACGCATGCAGACGCAGCTACCCACCTGAACAATTCAATATAATAATTAACCCACTATTTCAAATGTTTTTAGATTAAACTCAGTTTTGCTAATTATTTGTTCCTCTGGAACGTTTTCTAAAACACATGATGATTGTGAACATACTGTAACAACCCTCCCCTCAAAATGTAACATTTTTAGCAACAGCATGGTGAGCTCCATGTTGTTTTCTGGGTAGATAAATGAAAATGATCTTTATTATTTAAAAAATATCTCACCTGTGTTGACGAGTTCCTTCTGAGAGTAATCCTCCTCACTCCCATATTGAGGGGGAATAGGGCTAGTGAACTTCTTTTGATCTGTTACCTCATAGGTGGAGGAACTTTGGTTCTTTTCCCTCTTCCCAAGAGAAACAGATAATAATGCAACCTTTACACAGAAGAATGTTGTAAAAACATTGCTTATGATGGAATCTTACTGGACATAAAATTACATCTCCGGTGCATCACTTAAAAAAAAAATTAGAATATCTTTATATCTGATATGAAAGGGTATTTGTAGCGCACAGATAATCACAATTTTCAGTGTAGTTCAAAATTTACTTTATGTGTGAGTATTCTACAGTATGCCTTTTGACTAGACATTAGCACTTTAATCTTTATACACTATGGTGCAGTGATGTTCTATATTCCAGTTTAAACATACTGTAGGAAACAACTGAAATGTACAAACAGGGCTAATCCTTCTACTTCATTGCCAGTGGCTGTGGGTATTTATATTAATTACTGATTATTAGGATTCAAAGAATGTACTTACCGGGGTTAGTTGATTAAGGTGCACTGTGACATTATTGGGATTTTTACTGTTATAGGACATAGTGTATTGATTGGCAGATTTGTCTGTATCTGGCACAGAGTTGTGGGGTGCGATTATAACAGGCTGTTGATCTGCAGTGTGATTGTTAAATGTTATACTTGGCTGCATGACCACAGTGTGTCTGAGGTGGCCATTGACTTTGTAGATCTCACGAGACAGGAACCTCATTGCCTCACTGACATTCTGGTAAAGAAGTGCATTCTGAGAAAGAGAGCCCTGGAGCTTCTTTAGCAATGCCTTTTCTGACATCTGATGAGTCCTTAAAACCTGAGAGACAAAATGCAGGGAGTCTGGTTGGTTGACTTTGGTTGATCAGACAGACTGAGTGTCAAACAAAGAAGAGGTGTCAATCACACAAACATCAACTGAAACACAGACAGAGACAAGATAGTAAAACATAAGGACATGTACTTGGACATGTTTCAACAAATAAATACCTGCTCCAGGGATTTGATATGGGTGATGACCCTGTTGGTATTGGAGCTCAGACGTCGGATGTCAGCATTTTCAATAACTTGTTGAAGGACCTTCACTGTAGATTTGATCTGTTGTAGAGGAAGAAATTGAGCTGTCACACCCTTCAGTGATTAGAAAGTGTTTTGAAGAGTATGAATATAAATAAATATTAAAAAATGATATTTAATATGGTTATGCTCTATGAATGTAAATAAAAAAATATTTATTTGTGTGAAGATTTTTGATGTTTTTTCTACTGGTTTGGATGTATCATTAAGAAGTTTACACTTATTAAGGTACTGTACATGTTAATTAGATAATAGGAATGGTTGTCTTGCTATGTTATATCCTGTATATCTAGTTATATATGTGGTATCGGAAGGTGTATCAATAATTACTCTGCTCTTTATTTTTTTATTGATATCCATTTTACCTAACAATAAAACAAGTGAACACATTTTTTAAACAATAGTAGAATCCATATGACTCAGATTTTTAAAAACATTCAAAAAGCATAGCATTTGGAGGTAATATTCACATGACCAAATTCAGATATTATCCAGAACTCAACACTTCATAGTGAAATTCTAATAATATTTGTGTAAAGGAATACATTTATGGGAGACTTCAACTTTCCTCACATAGACTGGGAAAGGCCAACAGGAATGTCAGCAACAGAAACTGGAATGGCATATACTGTATATTGTATATAACTAAGAAATAGCTTCTTTGCTCACTTTGTCAGAGAACGAACAAGAAGAAATGCCTGTATTTTTAAGGTATGTTTTTAAACTGTAATTGTGTAGGAACAGTCCAAATCATAGTTTTACAATTTGAGGAAAGCTAAACACAAAGGATCTAGACAGAGCGTAAGAGATGTACAATAGGATCAGAAATATATGGGATCAATAGAGAATTTTACTTATTTTGAATAAATTGTACAATTCTAGTAATCATATTACAGAGAATGTTGTTCCTCACGATCAGTCCTGAGAACAGAAACCAGATATATTCCAGAGCTTAAAGGAATGACATGCTCTGATAGGCTACAAGAACTGAGCCTTTTTGCATAGTTGATTGTATATTTTACTTTAGAAATGTATTTTCTTCTTTCTCATCATACATTGGTTCACATTGTGTTAAATATGTTAAGTGTATTGTATTACAGTAAATCTTTTAGCTCTCTGCAGAACAAATGTCCCATCTGGTACAATATAAGGAAGTGAACAATATTAATAAGACTTTAAAGGAACTCAATTTGAATACCCTGGAAGGGACAAGCGGCCTCCTCTTCCTGTTTTTAAAAGAGATTCAGAAATTACATTTCTAACACTATTATTGCTAAGTCAATGATGTACAAATTTTCTGTATCAATTATGGCAGACTACTGACAGTCCAGTTCTGATGATAAATAATGACTTAAGATTGATGGGCCTATCAGCAGAAAGTGAGAAAGCAGTCCTGAGAGTTAATGGTGATAGTGTTATTAGATGCAATTCACCTCCAATGTAACACAGATGCTAAATGCTTTCATTCATCAGTTCCGCTCAACGGTGGCCCTGTGTAGGCTGCTGCAGGTGTGGATTTTAAATTACTGTTTTTGGTAGTTTGAAGTTGCTGGTGCACTGCAGCTGAATTGAAAGTTCTAACCAAAAAATATCAGCAAATACTGTGTCATGGATTTTATCAGTGTTGTATAAGTATAAAAGCATTAGGACTGCTAAACATTAATGTACTGTAACATGCAGATTAAGAAGAGCTGGATACAATGTATTTCATTCTGCATACCTTTGCAATATCTGGAATCTTATTTTTCAGCCTTTCCAACTTCAATTCATTCTCACAGGGGCTGTAACCTACAATCTCACAGTGACACTTGCACTTTGACCCCCAAGATGTTAGCGGTTGTATCAAAGATGACTGATGTCTCCAGTCACCCTGTTCATTACTCCGCCTGCACTGCTCCAGCGATGGTCGCCTCAGTAAGCAACGACAGCCACACTGCCCCTCAGTTCCACCAAGGGAATTGGACTGCTCTGAAGACTGCAACACACCGTGAAGGACAAGCAAAGTGGCATTTCATTCTAAGTGTGATAATATAATTCACTTGTTTGGCCGGAACCACGGATCACAAACCAGCTGTGTGTCTACATTACCAGCTTGTATATGCATGGTAGTTTCATTGTACTTTCTACACATGCTTTCCTATACTGTACATGCTATACATTCCTATACATGCTTTTATTGTAATCTAATCTAATTGCTGTTGCTCAACAATAATAATAATAATAATAATAATAATAATAATAATAATAATAATAATAATGTGAACAAAAATACATTACGTATCTTGATCATCCAAATAAATTAAACATTAACATTTAACAAATGTACCAAGACAGTGAACAAATTATTTTCTTAATAATGTTACCAATAAAGTTATAATATCAGATATTTTTAAAGAAAATTAACGAGTAAATTGTTGTGATTTCGCTTAAAACGTCTTACCTGCTGGGCAATGGAGCAGTCGATTGTCAGAGCCAGCAGTGACAGGGTTGTTACACATAGGAATACTCGCATTGTCACTTGCACAGATCTGGAAGCAACACAACCCTACAGGACTTGCTGCTTATTTAGTTTATTTGTATGAAATCAGGTCTGTCTATTAGGACCTTTAGCTTAAAGTTCTCTCCAAGTTAAAAACAGGGAATAAACAACCTGCGAAGCAAAACTGTAGATCAAAAGAGCAAAAATGCATCAGAATAACTCCTTTAAATGTGACAAAAAAAGGAATCATTAAACACTCAGCTCTCACCTGCAAAGTCTTCTACTTCAAAGTTTTTAATTTCAAGTCTGGACAGAATCCATACCAAAACAAAGACCTGTATGCAAATTTTGTAACAAATACTGTACCTAATCTGTCAACACTGTAATAATTCTGAATGATATCTTACAGCAATTAATGTGAATGTGCAGAACACTGAAAATACTTTAACATAAATCATCACACTTAACACACTTTTCAGGTGAAAAACTGATATTTTTGTAAAATGGCTCTAATCCAATAAGATATTAATTGGAGAAAAAAGACTGATATGAAAGTAATGCAGCATTCTACCATATGAGTACATCTTCCACTTTGCAATAAATCAGAACTGGTGTATTATTTGTATATGCATCTGTTTTCCTCTTAGTAACATAAAGGTACAGTGAGCTGGTATTAAGAAATACAGAAGTGACTAAAAATAATTATTATTCAGCCATTTAAGTTAAGTCTTGAGGTGAAGAGATTTAAACTCAACTTTCCCTTTTACCCTAAAATAGTACTGAATTTTGAAATAGTACTGAAGTTCCAAAAACTTTTTTTTATTTTAATTTCTTAAATCCTCAGTGCTTTCAAAAATAAAAAATATTTCCAAGTGAAGTGAAAAATAATGATTACATACCCTTCTTTATATGAGTACACAAAATTGTCAGACAATTTGTCATACTGTATGTTGAAGAAATACAGGAAACATTTCCAAAATTCTTTATCTGTAATCGTGGCTATACTTCTTGAAAATATTCCAAGTACTTATTTGAAAAAGCAAATACATTTTCATCGAATGATGATGGAAAAAAAATCTTCACATTCTGTCTTCCAAGGAAAGGAAAGCAAAATCATAATGCAAAAAGGAAGGACTTTAAATCAGCGTTTTAAAAGTAGTTCTCACAGATAAAGCAAATCTTAACCCTGTGGTTTATGACACCAAGCAGCAGAGCCAGAAGCCTGGATTACTTGCATCCTTTAGTTGTGTACACCTGTGATAATAACTGGCTCTTCACAGTAGGTTCTGAAAGTGAATGATAAAATATTCAAACTGCTACCTGATATAATCTATTCTACTGTATGTTAGAATGAGTCACAGAGAAAATGAGACAGCCTCTCTCAGTAGACATCTGAGAACAGCCTTTACCACACCCCCTGCCACACTCATACACCTCTGCAGATCCAGGTCTGAGTAAAATCCAGACAGGCACTCTCACTCAGTAAAGACGCGACAGACTAAAGTATGAGGATGACACAGTTTTAACAGTTAAGAGTACAAAGACAGCTTTAAGTGAGAAAAAGATATTGTGCAGCTTCTTGGTTGATTGTTAGAAGCTTACAGATTTTGCGATAAATGATCCCAGAGAACTGACAAGTTTAGGCAGTTTGCTTCAAAACAAATCACATCTATGTGTGTGTGAAAGTGCCGCCTGAATTCATTCCTAAGTACATATTCAATTGACTTTCAGTATCTCTGAGGTCTTCTAGTTACTAAATCGAACCCCATAAACGTAAAGTTCTGCATTCATGCATCAAACCGTTCATTCAGTTCTGGCTTTATGGATACTAGGATTGTCAGGATGTACATTATGTATTCCCATGCAATACAACCAAATTTGGACTAGGATATCATACAACATGTCAGACAAATTTCTTCGAGGAAGAGGAAGATCTGTTGCAAGGATGGGGACATGGGCACCACTTGAGAAAAAGCTAAACAAGTTTAATTTAAATAACAAATGAGTTTCACATGCTATATGAAAAACAGTCATTTTGTTTCTTCCAGATAATTAATTCTGGTCCATGAGGCTCCTGAGAGTCTCTGATCAAATCCCTGAGAAGAAGACCCAGACTATTGTACCATCACCCTACATGACTATACACTGTAGTTATCAGCTCCAGCATTTCTCAGTAGTATTGGAACAGATAAGAACATTATCAAGGCAAGAGGCATAATATGAAGAACAACAATAGCCCATCTTCATCTTTTTGCCTGTAGTTTCTTTTAATTTATGCTTTTTTTCTTATCTAATATAATAACCATGGATATTTATAAGTATTTTATTAATTGTGTTCAGGTTTTAACTTTTGCATCATGTACAGTACAAACACCCCCCAATATTTAATCCTGCATATGTATTTTGAAATATAAAGGAAAAAAAACTATTGCTTATACGTAGCTAAAATATGATGCATAACTGGAGATAATGAGTATCACCTGAGAAGTGAGAGCAAATACAATATACTGTAAAAAATAAAATTGCAAACCAACAGAAAATATAACAATGGCTTTTGTAATTGAGCAGGTGAAGGTAGAAATACATTCTCTCTCCTATCATATTAATGTAATCCAATAAACCTATATTATGGTCATGCCCTTTATTCTTTCTTTTGTAATCTGAAATATTAGTTTTTTTAAATACCTTTGTGTGACTGAAAAATCATTCATCATGTTTCTCTGTTTCTCTAGACAAGCTGGGTGGGTCTACATCAGCCTGTACCCTTGGAGGCTTTATGAAGCATCCCAGGCATGTCTGGATGCTGCTATACCACACCGTCTCATTACCCTAAAAAGTCTAAAAAGATGTCTGATGGGTTTTTGCTTTAGATTGTGGTGAATGACTACACCAGATCTCAGGTGTATGTCTTTTTGAACGTTTTGTCGACCAGAAAAACAGAATTCTACAATTTAATTCACTTAATGTCTCTATTATTCTCATTGTAGAGGCTTACTAATAGGTTATAGTCTCCACTGAACCCTGTTTCCATCCAGGGTGAGGACATAGAGGGTGTACATTCCTACAAGTACTTAGGGGTACACCTGGATGATAAGCTGGAGTGATCTGGTAACACTGACACCCTGTACAAGAAAGGTCAGAGCCAACTCTATTTTCTTAGGAGGCTCAGGTCCTTTGGTGTGTGTGGAACACTGCTACACATTTGTTTATAAATCAGTGGTGGTGGCAGCCATCTTCTACGCTGTTGTGTGCTGGGGCAGCAGCATCATGACAAAAGATGCAAATAAACTTATCAAGAAGGCTGGCTCTGTGTTGGGGATGAGCCTTGACCCCATGGAGGTGGTGGCTGAGAGGAGAATGCTGACCAAGCTCACAGCTATCATGAACAACACCTCTCATCCGCTTCATGGGACTGTTACTGGGCAGCGGAGCACTTTTAGCAACAGACTGCTCCAGCTACGGTGTTCAAGGGAACGTTTCCGCAGGTCGGCGGCTGTCAGGGTGTATAACGCTGCCCTAGGCTAGGACTGTTAGCCCTTCATTTGCTCCTCTATGGACAGCATGTTTGCTCCATTGTACTTTTTGGACAATCAATCTGTATAAACCTATGCACATTTTGCACATATTTTATTGGTTTTACAGTGACTATAATCATCACAAAACATGGAAACGGAAAATCGATTCTCACCTTTTTTGTTATTTTCGTGTTCTCAAAAACAGAAGCCTGTAATTTAAGCTTCTCCTTAACAACCATGAAAGGGAGCAACCAAATATTTACATAGCTCCCAAAACCACAGATTGGCTCTATACAAAAACATAAAAACCCTGAACATGCACTCACACAGCAAGAGAAAATAACAGCACATAAAAGATAAAACACTGATCTAACTGGAAGATATCACATCACTTTGCTAGAAGAATTCAATTAGAGTGTGGTTGGGGGTTAAGTGGAAAATTCCAGAAAAATGAAGGAATTTACTTTTTTATAAGAAGACAGACTGGGACAGAACTATGCTGCTCTGTTGGCCATGCAGATACACATAAGTACATAAAACATAAAACAAACAAGAGGACATCAGTTGACTAGTGTGGCTCATTTGCTTGCCAGTATGTGATTGATCGGTAGTGTTGTGCAGTCATTTCTTGAAGGAAGCCAGGGTGTCAGCTTTAACAACATGGCTGGGGAAGACTGATCCACACACCTACAGGAGTAGTCTTGTGAAACGAACAGTCGGTTATACTTATTATCTCAAATGCACCTCTCCTAACATTTCCTTTGAGTTGGTTCGTATTTCACTGCTAATGCTGAAGATGTCCCTTGGGTAACTTAGGTGAGTAAGAGAACATTACTGCAGACTTTTTCAAGACAGAAAAGGTTCAGCAAAGCCAAAAGAAAAAAAAAAACAATTTAAAACTTAATCCCTCTTGCAAAATGTACAGTAAGTAGGTTTTGTATCAAGACTGTCTCATGGCAGACTCCCTTAGGGTCAAAGGTAAGTGACTTCTTATTAAAAAAAAGTATTGGTATGTTGACACCAGAGATCGGGATTCCAGTTTGTGACTAGCTAGTGGATCAAAGTTTTGATTTGGTCCATGCTTTAGTTTATATGGGTTTAGCAGCTTTCTCTTGAATAAAGAACTTGACTAGTGCATGCTGTTAATTAAAAAGGCAAATCTCCTGTGTATTGATGAATGTTGAATGAGATCAACAATAACAAATAATTACAGTTGTGTAAATCTTAAATATATTGACAAAATGAAGAGGCGGGCAAGCAAAACAGGAACATATCTTTCATAGTTTTATGGTGACTGCTTTTACAATGTGTTAATTCTTAAAGAAAAAAAAAAGATGGCACCCCAAACAATTAATTTACCCAGTTATTTTATTTAATGGAGAATGCTCTTGTGTTTGTATTCCATTCATTATTTATAACCAGCAATAAAAATAAAAAGTAGACATCTGTATTGCTAGACAGAATACAACTGCAGAAGACAGTAATTGGGTGAGTCAATTCATTTTCTTTTCCTTTTGGTTCATTCAGAAGGCTGACAGTCATCCAGCAATTACAAAACCATTTTTAATCTCAGTTTGCATGACATATTATAAACCTTCTAATTTTCTTTTTTTTATTAAAGATAAGATCAGCAAGCTATTTAGAGATGCTTGTATATAATTTAACATTTTAATGAAAAGAGACTTTGTCTGTAATCATGTGGAAGTGAAGACATAACATAAAATTAAAAATATTTTGGCATTTATTTTAAAAATACACTGCAGTGATAGACCATGTACTTGCAGACAACAACTCTTTGCCTAAAGATATATCTATAATTTTACACATACTTAATTCTTTAACTGCCTCTCATAGACAGACTGTACAGTAAATGGCAGGAAAAATGTTGCCTACTACATAGGAAATGTAAATCACAAGGAGACACTGTAACTCCATTAGCCTTTCCATGTGCTATAATACCATCAATAAAATGAATGGCTCTTAAATGTCTGTGTTAAATCCTAAGAGTATCTAACAGTACAGATTTTCATTGAGACAAATGAATCAATAAAGGAATGAAATAGTGACTGTGTCATTTCTTGGCTACGGCCAAATAATAGAGATGTTGTTTGTGTGTGATAATATACAGTATAGGGGTAGGCAATATCACACAAAAAAAAAACCCTCAAGCTAAAGTTGTCCATTTGCATTCCATTCTACTTTTTTAACAAGTTCAGACAGGATGTAAGGTACTGTAAGTGTGCAAGGAGTGGTGAAAAGGAAAGAATTTTCAAATCCTTGAAACTGCAATCACAAAATAAAATCAGCAAAGCTTGAAAATATTTAGGTGTCTTCCAATAAGAGTCTCATTCTATAATCCATCGAATTACCATATCATTAGCCACACAGAAAAAATAACAATAGTTAATCCCCAGAATTACTTAAGACTCTTTTAAAGTGTAATGGCAATGGAAGCTGTCATGTCCTGTCAAGTAAGGAGCAATCTACCCCTGACAATATTTTTGTTTTGAATTGTTATATGTACTCTTGTTTGTATTGTAATTTTTGTTCTTTTGTTAAGCATAAATAAAAAAATTTTAAAAAGTTAGGAGCAATCTGTCCACCATTCAAGTTAAAAATATATTGATCTCACCACGTTCAGCAAATCATGAAAAGGGTCTGTCTAGCTTGCAAATAGTGACGGCAATGGATTTAACGAAGCTCACAGTAAATAAAGATTGCATGAGAGGGCCCAGATAGCATTTGTATCTCATTATAATCGTAGCTAAACAAGGACTTCAATAGCACCTTCGTTAAGAATAGATTTCTAATTAAACATTTTCTGTATATCAAATTGAGGCTATAGAAGAGAAGGTTTTTAAACCCCACCACTTTCTAAATTCATTAAAACATCTAAAATATCAATTAACCATAATTTTAGCTGTAGTATTTCCAAGCTTTTGCATTGAGAAATGATCTCAGACAATTTACAGTATGAACACTTGGAAAAGTGAGTTCTAGATCTGGAAAACCATTAAGTACAAAGGGCAGGTCCCTTTTGGTGTTCAATAAGAAAAAAATGCAGAAAGCAGAAATGAATATGGAATATTTAATTAATGTTTCTACATTAATAAGCATGTGAAATTGGAAATATTTATTTGGGCATGTCTTTCTGTCATTTGTATGTATTTTCTGATATAATTTCAGTGTTATATTTTGCTTTAGACAGTATTAGTACACTTAACTGCAAAATTCCACATTTTCATTGGCAGAGATAAGGGAGAAAGATTGAAAAGGTCAAATGAATATACAAAACACAAATAAGCAGCAAAGAGTATTGATGATTTAAATGGAAAGAAAATAGAAATGAGTGTTTACTGTATCTGTGGCTTTGTAATTGGTTTACTGTTTTGAGCTGAGCACATGATTATTGTGGAGAGATGTTCAGAGATGACATACAAAACCATTTTGAATGATGGACTATTGAACGAATACCAAGTTATATTTCCAGAAGTGGTTTACTTTCTGACAGACCTGGAAAAAGAACAAAATTTTAAAAAATGACACCCAGTCACATACAGTATGTGGCAAACTTGTCACATTTGACAGTGAAAAAAATGCAAAAAATTGAAAATACTATTTAACTACAATACTAGAGTGAATTTGAAATAATCAACTGATAATTTCACCCTTTCAGTTGGTGGGGCTTGATCTCCATCCAATTATGTTTGTAATATTATAGCAAGCATCTCCGGCCATCTGCTCTGAGATGATTGCATGTACTGTATATTCCTCTCAGTATGAGGATATTTGCTTTTTGTCAGCAGTTTGAGATGGTGAGCGCAAATGGCATTAATTCATGAAGTATGAGCTGCGTCAAGCAACCATTTTCTGAACGGAGGTGTCTAAGTCCCATTCATATCTGCTTAGGAGGCCAAAGTTAGAGCAAAAAGGTAACTCAAATATCCTAAGTCAAGTACAAAAAGTAAACACCAGAGTGTTCTACTTTACCTACATATACTAGTCTATATCATGTACACTCACAGCCAAAAGTTAAATCCCCATATTTCTGTATTACATTCTTTATTTTGTTGTTCATTTTGAATATGGCCTAAAAAGGTGAAGAATCTTTCAGCCCTCTGTTTATATCAAATCTTGTTGTGAAAGAACTTGTTTGACATATACAATATTAGTCAATTTGATCTGGTTTAGTCTTCTCTTAGTGTGAGGCATGATGCTCACTTTTTTGTTATGATTTGCAAGGCACAAGGCAGCATGAACTAATGAACCAATTCCAAAACCTACTTTAATTAATAAAAAATGGCCAGCCTAAAATAACTACTATAGAGTTGAACTACTTAGAGCTGAAACCCACGTCTGCCCTACCTTCCTTTTAAGTTCAAGTAACAAGTTTATGTCACAACCAGGGATGCTACAGGGTACAAACATTATTTCAGCTATGGTTTTAGTCCAAAACTCTCTTGGATTCTCACCGTGATAAAACAGATGCCAAAGAAATAATACAATTTAACATATTTGCATGTTAAACAGGGCACAGTTTGTAGGTAGCAATGCAATGTCCAAGCATTCCACTATTCTAGAGCTAAGAAACTTAGCTGACTAAATTAACCTTTACAGAAAGGTTGTGCAGCACAAGTGCTTTGCTTTTGCCAGCAGTGGTATAATTCACATCCTTCATCACTAGATCATTTGAGAAAACTTTAAAGATTACATTAAAAGACTTAATAAAAGCCAAGTTCAAAGAGCTCAATAAGCTACTTAGAAAGAGAATATGTGGAAAGCATAACATTGGTTATAATACAGCAGAGGACGGCTAAAAATCCTCATATATTGATATAATTAAAGGGTTTTATTAATATAGTCAAATGCCTGTCACATACCTCTTTCACATAAAACCAACTATCACTGACACCCAAGTCTCATGTAGGCACAATTACTCTGGAAATTGAATCATGGTTACTTGCTCGCATTCCGATAAAATAGAAGGAATGATGTTTTTCTACCAATATAAACCTAACATCCTCCTGTTATGACTGCCCAAAGTAATTTAGACTAGATCTTTTCCAAATTTGAATATAAAAAATAAGATGACCCACACTGCTCCCTGTAGTTTTTTTTTAATAATGCACACTTGAAATATTTTATGGGAATGAAAGAAAAAAATGCCAAATTGACACTATTCACGACAAAGCTTATAAAATCATCACCTAAATATTATAATGCAATATAATGCAAAAACACAAAATTTAGAGAAGCATGTTTACAGACATTATCCAGCAAAATAGCACATTTACTGTATATCCCCATCTCCATCGAGAAAAAAAAAACAGACATGCCCGTACTACTATATTTTAGTTCTCATAAACTGAAGAGCTTAATTTAGCTCAGTTTAGTTTTTTGGTGCTAGAAAGAGTTCTATTTCCAATACTTTTATAAAGAATAGACAGTGAGAACAAAACAGACTTCTGCTTAACAAAAGTCAATATCAGCTAAAGAAAGCCGTTATGTAAGCATATTAAAAGTGATCTATTATCTTTTGAAGCCTGCAGTTTCAGATTGCAATATTCAAAATCCTGAAACAAAGTTGTCTCCAGCCAAAGATGTTTGGGTTTATATGATGAATACTGATGACTTTTGAGGGAAATTTATTCACCTGGACTCCTACAAGATGAGAGTTGTTGAGGTTCTTCAATTAACAAACCCCTAGCTGCTCAAAAAGTCAAAATTACTACATTCTCTCAAAATATGTTTTCTCTCATTTCTATGTCATTTTTTGTTCATTAAACAATATCAACCAACTGTTTACTGAGGGAAACAAATACTGCAAATGAAGATCCATGAACCAAAAACAAAAGAAACCCAAGAAACATCTCATGAAAAGATTTTTTATTCTAATGCACATAAATGAAGTGGCCTGCTGGCACAAAAACAGATACAATCACTGAATCCAGCTTTTCAAGAGCGGCGTTGAAGCTTGCAAGCGTGAGCAGTGTGCCTGCAAATCACACCATATGCTTAGAAGGGCTGGCCAAATTCTCACTTCAGGAAAGGAAACAAGTTGCATTTTGATTCTGTTACTGATAAAAGAGCATAAATGCTGGTCTTTCAAAGCATGGCACTTGGATGTGGTTCAAACATCACTGCCGGCCCAGTCTATTTTGGAAAGACAGCGACGACATCATAGCCCTCAGGTGGAGTCACCCTCTCCCTGGCGTGCTTTTCACAGTAGATCTTGTCTTCCACGAAAAAGTGGCCCTTCTGCTTCAGGTTCACTCCACAGTCAGTGCAAGTGTAACATTCAGGGTGTCGGAATTTGTCTCTCAGCTTTACAATCACACCCCTTGTAGGAGAGAAAAGAGTAAGGCAATGAGATTTATACATTGAAAGGTCAGGAATATTAAAAAAGGTTATGTTTTTATAATCTACAGCAGTTCTCGCAGTGTAAGAGGAGATTATTTGCGACATCCCTATCCAGGCCTTTTAACAGCTAAAACAGCCCCCACAGCCTTTTGACAAGCTGAGTCATGTGGGTTTCTGGTCCCCAAGGCATTAGTTTGAATCTGAGTCTAACAAGAGAGGCTTTAGGAATATCAAGACATGGACTAGGCTTGGTGAGATGTTTGCCTACCAGTTACTGAATGTTTCATAGAGCAGGGCAAGACTGTTACATTGATGAAATTGCCATAGACAGGGAAGAGCTTTCAAATACATTAAGAGGGGCTGGTCTCCTGGTACAGTAGGTTTGACATTTATCTTAGTGCAGGCCAGGCACTGAAACGTGTCCGATGGTTTAAATATGGAGATGATCACAAAGGCTTCTTTGGGTATCACACCAAAGCAGAACAACAGATTTTGGCAGATTTCAAAGCAGAGAAAATCTCCGGGTTCCAAATATATCTTCAATATGTTAAACAAGTTAAGATGTTTCTTTGCAATTAAATGCAATTCTATGTACTATTGGAATGTACTGTCTTCCAATAACTAGTAAATGACTTTATCAAAAGATGAAACCAACAGAATTTTGTTACGCCTATCCCCGCAGGAGCACTGCTAAGAAGGTTAGTTCCAGGGAAGCCCCTTTCCTCTGTCAATCAGACCTGTTGCCGGTGAAACTGAATAAGACAGGAAGTTTACCTCACCTGTGAGTGATCACATTATCCCCTGCCTCCTGGGGAAGTGAGCAATTTAAGGTCTGACCAAGCAGTGCTCAGGGCATTGTTGGAGAGTTGCACTCTGAGCCACTGCTGTGTTCCCTAGCTTGCCTACGTTTTGATCTGGACTCAACCATGCTTTGTCTCAGCTCTGGCTATCTAAATACCTGGATTGCTTCGTTGGACCTTGGCTTTCAGATATTCCTTTGTACCTTTGAGTATCTCCAGCTCTGAATTGTAGTAGTGACCCCACTGCGATTCTGGACTGTGCTTTGCCTGTTTGCTATGCTCACCTACTGCTGACCAATTTACCTGTTCCAGCTCTAGTATTCATCCTTCGACCCACAGACTGCTACTACAATAACAACATTAGTACTGGTACATAAAAAAATAAACTTAAAATAGAGCAGAAGGTATCAAGTAGAAATATTTTATATCATAACATCAAGAATACATTTTTTTATACTACATTCAAATACTTACACAATGCCCGATTCACACAGGTCACAGATTGGCAGCTTTTCTGTGCTCCCAACAGAGGATCCAATTTTAGCTGTGGGAGGTTTTACACTTCTAAACCCAGATGGCTTTTCTCCTGAAATTAGAGAAAACTGTTAGCTAAGAAGGTAAGGTGCCGCTTTTCATGAATGCCTAAGCATAACAGTTTGAAGTCTTTCATACTAAAATTTTCATTAAGCCCTCCATTTACGATGTGCAGTCTTTTATGCCATTAGACAAAATGTACAGTATGTTGTGTTTTTAATCTAAAAATGAGAATCTGCATGTTGTTTATTTTTTTATTTTCTTCTACTAACTCATGTACCAAAATATCAAAGTATTAAATAGGAAAGATTATGTATTGGGAGCTGTTTAATTCTGGGCCACAAATTTCAGAAATGTCGTCAAAAGATTTATTTTTCATTTCCTCAGATATTTACTGTATACTATATATCAGCCTATTTCTAGATATGTTTTAATTTTAATCACAGCTTCAATCATTCCTTTCTTTGAGACTATGTCTACAAGGCTTGTCTAAGAACCAAGAAGAACTTGTTTCGCAATGCTGGAAATGAAGGTCAGTGATGTCTGCAGTGTGGTTCTACAGTGCACACATGCAAATATTTGCAAACGTAACAAAGGATATTAAAACAAGACAAAGTAATGTGTATCTTAAGCATTGATGCAGCCATTAATGTAGTGGAGAAAGTTATAGTAGCTCAATCAGGTTTTGCTAGAGACCACAAGGGGGCGAAAGCACACTGCCAAACAGCAGGATACTCAGGCAGCACTGTGGCATTTCCAGAAAAATGAGAAATTAAGTGAGAATTTACCCAGATCAAGTAAGGGTCATGGCTGGCTACCAGTCCTGGCAGCATCACAGAGAGAAAAACCCATGGTAAAGAGCACTATTGATAGCATCCCAGAATCTGGACAGGGGAATGAAAAGCGTGCCTGGGCAAAGCATTGATTATGGTACTTATAGTCAATGTGGACATCTCTCCAAGATGCGACATGGGTTGTTAGCCTACTGCAACCCTAACTTGAAGTTCATTAGCTTTTCTAAGTAATCTTAGAGTAGACTGGTTCTCTCTTCTCTGAGTACTCCATTACATATCTCCTAGGGATTACACAATGGGGCTAATTCCCTGTGAGAATTCTTCAATTAAGGCCACATTCTCATATTATATGGATCCTGCTCTGCAGGGAGGTGCTACCACTCCTCTGTGATCCCTGTCATAACTTCATTGAGTCAACCTTCAATGATGTAATAGTATACCCAAGTTTTTCAACCATGTTTTTAAAGCTACAAGTAAAATCTGTGCAAATAATATTGGGTATTTGTAGCAAGACACTTTTAAGATATCTTTACACTAGTTTTTGCATGCTTGATTCTGTTTCTATTAATTGTTAATGGTAAAAGAGTTAAGATAGTAATTCACATTGAGGCTGGTACCTTTTTCATCAGACTCGAGGATCTCCTGCAGAACTCTGAAAGAAGTGGACTGTCGTGGGGGCTCATCTGATTCTTGATTTTCCTGCAGCATTTTGTAAACCTCCGAGTCTGTGTTTATCGCTGGCTTAATAGCAGTTGGCTTAAAGGTGTCTGGGCTAAAATGTAAAAAAAAAACCATCATAGTTAAAAAATAGACAAAGCAAACTAAATAAAAGTGACAAAGCAGACAGAAAGCCACTTGTAATAAATCTAGTCCTCAAAACTCAAAATGTACCAGAATAATTGAATTCTGTACAATTTTTAGACACAAGGATACACAGATCACTCAATTATAAATTGTTTTGGTACAACTGAGATTTCAACCACATACAGTACATCAATCACATTCAATAACTGAAAAGGAAGTTGTATTATCAATGCTTAAAATATTACAAAATCTGTTTCAGGACATCTCACACAAAAGCACATCTTCATTTGCTTGGAAAGAAATATAAAATTGTAAAATGGTAAAGTAAAGGTGCTGTAGCAATTTATTCATAAACAGAAGTGTCTGATGCAAACAATGTTTTCCAAGACGACATACTAGTTGAAACAGTATATATATATATTTTACAAAGACAAGACTTGGGATTTCTTTGCAGACTTTCTACAGAAAGTGCTCTAATATTTGTGATGTGGCTTCCTCACTAATTTCTACATTTTCTGTGAAAAGAATAAGGTTATTTATTCAGGGAAATGTCATTACTTCAGGGGGTAAAAATATAATCTCCAACTCAAAACCTTCAAAATATTTTTAATATATCATGTTTATCTGGATACTATAGGCTTAAAGGGGATAATTTAAAGATTTAGTATAGTTCTAAGGGTGAGAGCAGGAATGCTAATTCTTTTTTAGGATGAGAAGATCTGCAGAAGCCTTTAATTTATCTAGATAAAAGGGGAAAGATTCAATGTTAAAGGCATAAAAATGAGGGAATAGTTCATAAAGTCCAACATAAAGCAATTTCTGTTTAATTTTTCCCTTGTCAAAAACTGATGCAGAAATGCAGATGATTCATCTAATGTTTAGAAAATAATACACCAGATAAAAAACAGCAAAAGGGAAAAAACAAGTTCTTAAATGAAAATCTTAACATAAATAATTTAATCTGAAATGGTACTCTTAAAATTAAATTAACCAAACTTAAATTCACAACAGTCGATTTTTGCAGAATTAAAAACCAAGTTGAGACAGTAGGGGAACATCAGATCACAAACAACAACCAAAGTGAGTATAAATTTGTTAAACATTCTACACTAGAGCATAAGTAAAACATGCTCATCATACTCTGAGCACGAAAACCCTGTAAAAAAAAGTCGAGACAAAAAGACTTAATCCAGGTTTTTTGGGTTAGTTATGTAATTAAATCAGTTTATTTCCACTTTGTGTTTTCCAATCCTGATTTTCGTGATGCGACGCATATTTCATTTAATAATTTGGGAGAACAGACACACGCATGTGCACCAGATGTGATGGTGAGAGAATTTCTGTGGAAATGAAGTGTGCCAGCTCACTAGAAACCATTTACCGTTTCAAATGCTCTCGTATTCGGGCGCCAACAAGGACAAAATTAGCAAACGTACGAACGCACACACAGAGAGCATGGCGTTACCTGACGAGCTCAGGGCTGATTGTAGAGATCTGCCCCTGTAATGAGTCCAGTATGTTAGCCTGTGAATAGAGCTGTAAAGGGGAGTTAAACTGCACGTGCAGGACTTTGATGCCCGGCACATCCACCTCCACGGGGCTGTTTGGGCAGCACTGGGCAGCAGTCTTCAGCTCCCGGGGGCCCACACGCACCTGACTGGGGATGGACGAGGTGCTGTGGCGCCGCAGAGGGGGGGCAGGAGAGCTGCCACGCTTTTTTGGGTTATACACAGAAGCAAAGGGAGCTTGGAAGCCCCCTGAGGGAGAGAGTGGGCTGAAGGTCCCAGTTGGGTTAAAGGAAAAGCAGGCAGCAAGATGAAAAAGTGGTAGGAGGAAATGAAAAATTAATGTTGGAAACACAAGAACATCACAGTCTATTTCACCATGAATGTGAGTGATATACAAATGACATGCCTTTACGGTGACAAATCCACACATGCAGATTACTGGGAAGTTAAATGTATATCTAAGCTTAACCATGCAATGCATGATTCATTAATATTTGGAATGAATAAAGACTTTCAATGAGATCTATCACTTAAATACAAATTAGCATATGTAAAGAATGTTCTTTTATTCTTTCACTGGTAGTGTTGTTTCATATAGACTAAATTTAAGGTAAATTAAGAAAAAACGACACTACTGCTGTAAAGGTTTTTGTACAGCCACTGTCACTCTTCACTTGAACAGATTTTAATGGAAAAGGTGTTTAAGGAGAGCAATGAGATGGAAAGTTAGAGCACCTGCTGTGACCAGAGGATGGCTTTACAGACTGGGTGGTCATACTGAAAGCCCGTTGAAACTGGGTGGGTCTCTGATGGACAAAGAAACAGCGCAGTTAACGCGGAGGTCAGCTGGTTGAAAATAGTTCACAATACATGGTTACAGAACACAGGGTTTTCAAAAGTCTTGCTTCATTTAAAACATTCATCACAGACTCAAATGATGACCAAGTCCTGTATTTTACAAATTAAACTGGAATGACTGGAGAGTGTTCACAGTAATTCTCTCTGGTGCACAATTTCTTGACATTTATTCAAAAGAAACAAGATACATATATTTGCTCTATAAAGAAGATAAATTATTTTTACTATAATCTTGTAAAGTCCTGGAGAACACCTTTTACAACTTTGTGATTCTCAAAATTAAGGCAAGTCGGTTGAACCTTGTAAAAGCCTACCCAAATCTCCATCATCTCTATAAGATTAAATAAGACATCCAATTTAAAACAACAAGAAATACAACTTTCTCTAAATAACAGAACTGGTTCTCTTTGAACTGAGACCATTTCTACATTAACCCAGTTAGCTAAATCATAAACTGATTTGAGTTTAATTCGGGTACAAGACTTTTGACTCAACCCGTGCATGTGAAACAGGTGGCTTTAGAAAAGGAAGGCAATTCCTGAAAGAGAATTCCAACAATTAACACCCAATATGGCTTTTCATATTTCTGAAAGCAGAACTTGTCCCACTTACGTTTTGCTTGGCTCTGGTGCATTGGAGCTGCTTTTAGCCTCCACAGTGCTGTTGAAGTTCTTAATATTTTCTGATGAATACAGGCCTGCCGGGTTGTTGTACTGATTGGTGACCACTTTTGGGCTAGTGCTGGAAGCAGCAAATGGCAAAGCACTCCGGTTGTGAGCGCTCCCTATGTGCTTCACCTCCTGCATGCAGAGGGGAGGGGGGAATAATGAGTTGTGATTACATGCACGCGTGACGGCGACAGCCAGATAGCATGCAAAAAAAAAAAGGCTGCTAAAGTATTACATACTGTAATACTTCACGCTTGCCGGTGTTTAAATAGAACAGTGCTCCACTGATCCTCTGCAGTCTACTAAAGGAAGGCCTTTAATGAACATAAGACATTATTTTTTAGTAATGTGGTACATAAACCGGCCTACAAAATGAAAAGCCTCCTTCAAAGGGCCAGCAAGGAAATTCGGAAATTTAAACGGCGTGCACAGATTGAGAAAACATGGAGGCCAACCTTAACAGTTCTAAATATAAGACTGCAAGGCATTTGGCAGCACTGTTTTGTTTAAACTAAAAGTGTACAGGTGAGGAAAAAATAGTGATAGTCTCGACTGCATAGGCTCCAGCCACAATACAATTAGTGCACTGGAATTGTCCCGTTGACCTGCAACACTGATATGTCCATGGTATGAGTTTCAGCTATCTCCACTTACATCTTCATCAGGGACTGGATAATGTTCCAGCAATCAGATATTTTTGGTTGTGCCTGCTCTTTTTTATTCTTGGTGTTGTGAGGCTTAGACATTGCCTCAGTGCCAAGACAGTGTTTATTTTAACATACAGTAGTAGCACCTTGTAGAAACCAATATCCCACATTGACCAAATAAATGTAGTACAACCTGTGCGATCTTCTGCAACGTAATCAGAGTTGACTCAAGTAAACTGCATTTCAGAGGATGTCAAAACGTCTTTTTTTTTTGGGGGGGGGGTGGTACTTTCTCTCTCTTGTGTGTAATAAACATGTTTATTTCAGTGGACCTTCTAGGAGGTATCAGGGTGCTGATGGAGTTGAGCGGCACAGCACAAAGCCAACAGCCCAGCAGGAAGCAGTGTTGCTGGAGATGAGCTTTGAGTGAGCTGAATCCTGAGCAGTGCTTCAAGAATCAGAATTTTCTAAATTCGTTCACTTCAGATAACTTGTAAATAAATCTTGTAACAGTTTTTTTTGTGGTCTCAAAACACTAAATGTGGTGGTTTGTTTTTTAACCCATTTACAGCATATCAGGAAAATATAACAGTAATTTCGTTATCAAATTTACCATGTTAAAATCAATGCTTAACAGAAACAAAATGTTATTTTAACAAAGAGTTAGTTGTTATAAAATCATCAAATTAGGACAGACAGAGACTGTTGCAAAAATATTCAATTACTAATGATAACCAAAAACCGAAAATTAGAAAGAAATGGGGGGGAACTATTACATCAGAAAACTCTCAATCTCTTTCTATGCACGCCAGATGGAATAACCCCAACAGTCAGGGTCACCGTCTTCTCAGGGAGAAACTAGCTATGAATAAACTAGTTTTTTAAATATGTGGGGGAATAGGCAGCATATGTTTCTAAATGATCTCATATCTTAGGGATTATAAAAAAAATCATTTATTAACCTGTCATTTAATGTTAGTAACTCATTGAAACCAATTATATGGGTATGGCGATGTGGGAAAAAAAAATATACAGCTATAATTTGGCCCTCAATAAATGCTAAACTATGCTCAGAATTTTTCATGAGCAAAAAAGGAGGAAACATCTGAACATGTAAGGATTAATTTTAGAACACATAATTCCCGTGCTTCCCATTTTTAAAGTCCGTTATGGAGTACTGCACAGAAACACAGAGTCCTCATTCTTTTAAGAACTACAGTGAAGTATGAATTTGACAGCCTTTCATTTAGCAGTTTAAAAAAGACCCTTGGCCACACAAATGGCTTACTGTAACCATAAATAAACAAATTAACTTTTAGCAGAAGAGAGCAGCTGGAAGGCAGTGGATCAAGGGAGGAAGAATATAAAAAAGAAAAAAAAACTGGACAAAATCTAGGCTCTCATTACAGTCAAGCATTCTATCCGTTGGAACAGTTCATTTTTAATTTATCTACACTTCAACAAAAAGCGGTTACGCTATTGTGTTTCTGCCTGGAAGGGTGCATCTGGGATGGAGGTCTTTCCGAGTTAGAGCTACAGTACTGCAAACTGGTGTACCCTCACTCAGGATACAGAGGGAGACATGGTTATGGTTTCCGAGTCATGAATTCAGTCATGTCTGAGGGGTTGGGCTTGTGCCCATTGTACTCATAAGCAATAAACGAACATTCCTAATATCTTAATTAGGTATTTTTTTAAATAAATTAATACCATGTGAGAATGAGTGTTGGATCTTTAGGCGTTTTGTTTTTCTTCATTTAAAGTGATAAAATATTATGCAGACAAAATTCCAGTATTCATAAAAATGGCAAGAAAAACAGTGCGATTGCTAAACAAAATCTTTACAGCATGGGAATCATAAAAGTTTTTTTTAGACAGGACATTAATAGTTTCCTCCATGAGGTTATAGTAACTAGAACATTCTGCAGATGTAATTATGGTTTGGATTTCTTTTTTTTATTTCTCCCAGGTTTGAAATGCAACTTCTACATGAAACAAGCCCAAAAACTGAAAAAAGTTTAATTAATCCCAATTCTAAGCATTCCATCACAATTCAGTAATGATAAAAAAAGAAAACAGGGAGTTTTAATTAGCTTTGATAAAACACCAGAAAGTATGCTGCTATAAATAGGGGCTAAAAAAAGAGAATATCAGAAATTAGTTGGTTAATGAATAATCATAACCCTCATAATGTAAAGATTTTTGCCAAGAATATACCTGAGTGGTTGGTAAAATTAGAGACACCCAAGTTCAAGTTCTCTGCCACAGCTTTGGTGAGAAGAGTAATAAGTCAGGCACAAGGCTCCACGGCCGAAACGTTGCACTTTCTTTCTTCTCTTTTCAGCATGGAATAAACCTATTGCTTGTTCTTTTGCAGCCTACGCATGCTGACGCAGCTACCCACCTGAACATTTATTAATAATGACAACATACAACATACAGGTCCTATATACAAACATAGCATCCTAGAGTACTATGCCCTGACAAACCAGAAAAATCCTATACTACTACTACTACTACTACTACTACTAAGTATTTAATACTCATACAACAAAAGATATACCTATCTTTGAAAGTTAACAGAATATCACCTATGGTGACATCTCCCTAAAACCCGATTGCTACAAAGCGAGTGGGAAACAGGGAATTCTTTGTTATAAAAATGCACCTGATATCCAGAAGAGGATTTTAAAGAGGAATTCTATAGAAAGGAAATAGGAGTTTCCTAAAAACAGAATGGCAAGCTCTCTTAACAAGGTTCGAATACTCTGGGTCTTTAGGCTTTTGTGAGCACACAGTTTTCTCTCTCTCCTGTCCTTCTCTCACCTTTCTCCAAGTCTCCTCTCTCACCTCTTTTTTTCTCTCCCTCTCCTCTTTGTCTACCTGCCCTTTTATACTTTGTACCAGAATTGTTGATGACACTTAATCATTTACCCAGAACATAATTAACCAAGGTAAGCCAGACAATTCCTTTGATCATTATGTTTCAGACCTGTAAACACCCCAGGTCCTTTCTTGCTCTGAAGCTGTAAATGGTGACACTAGCTGTGTTAACGGTCTCTATATTCTTAATACACTTCAACAGTCACTTTCAATAGGTGTAACAATATTCACCTTACTAAAACATGCTAATACAACTTCCAGTGATGTAATTAACCTATTAAAATCACCTTAATGTGGCTCATGGAAGTCTTTTGTTCCCAAGTAGGAAGTTTTACAACAAACATTTTTTTGTTTAATGCTTCGGAGCTAGTGATAGTGGTCAGCCATACAACTTAATGGTTATTGATATTTCATCATGCTGTACTTTGCCTATTTATTGTTAGGCTGATGAAAACAATATTTTAACACAAGTTTGTCTATAAATGTACTTTGTATACCAGAACACTTGACCCAAGGTTGCTGATTTCATAATTGTATTGTCAGACCTATGGCAAAGAGAAGGTAAAAGCTGTTAACTGGATTTTCAGAAAAGTAACAATGGATATCAGGTAGAAGAAATAAATATGGCTTATCTTATTGTGCACATAAGATTTAAAGACTGGAGAAAAAAATCGCTAGGGAGAAGTTTATAAACAACTTTAAACACTTGAAATCTACCTTAAATGCAAGTGTTATCTCTTGATATGTACTATAAATACACTTATTTAGTATTCAAAAGGATCGTTTACAATACAAACAGAAAGGTGATTGTGAAAGTTGATTGTGGAATTTACAATGTTCCTTCCTTTCTTTCCTTCCCTGTAAGTAGAACAGGAGATTGATTAGAAGGAAGGCCACCCTTTTTACTTTTAGAAAAATGCAAACCTTGTCAACAATAAATTATACAAAAATGAAATGGAACGGAAGACTAGTAATGGATCTGAAGAAGACAATGGGTCCATTTAAATTTTCCTCTTCGATGTTCATTATGACAAAGAAAATAGAAATACAGCTGTCCATTATTTTAAGAATTAGTTTGTGTGACAAACAGTAGTTAAAATGTAATATTTACAATTAATGCCAAGTCTGAATGCTAGCATCTGTATGCTATTTTGTCTTTTGCTTCATGGCATGTGGGTACTTGAGCATATCCTGAGGTGTGTGTGATAAATGTTGGTTTCCTAGGATCTAGACTGTTGAACTATAAACAATGACATCATATTTGGCTGTGTGACAGCCAGTCCTTTGTTTGCATAATGGTACAATAAGAACATTGTTTCTCAGCACTCAGTGGGAGAGTTCTGTACACATTTAAAACATGTAAATGTTGGTAATTCCATTGTAACACTCTTATTGGTCTGATTCTTGATGGTTGTAAGAAAAGTAAAGTGCTTAAGAACTTTATATCAACACCCTCTTTTTATTAATACATCTTCAACTTCAGTGGATAATTCGGAAGAAAAAGCAAATATTCCGTTTCATTATAGCCTATATTTTATGTATTCTATTGTCAATGTTACAGTTTAGAATTATGAGAAAGATGCAGCAAAAGCTAAGATACAGAAATTTGGATTTAACAAACTAGAATACCCTTTGGATTAAGTTCACAGACCGAGCAACACTGATAGAGAACACAGAAATCAACAAGAGTTCTTTAGTCATCAGACCACTTTACTGACATGGCGCTTCAAATGATGTGGTAGTACTGTAACTGCACTTCATGCATTCATAATTTCAGATAAAAATGAATGTCTAAAAGTGGAAACTTGTTTAAATTAAATTAGAGTAAAAACTGTTTATCTTTGCAAGAGATCCAATAGATCTCTTGAAACATGTAGAAAAACCTTATACAAGGAAGAAACAGGCAACAGGAACAGGGAAAAAAAAACGAAGTAATTAACAAAGCATTTCAGGAATATAACTGAGAAGGTTTGCTCTTCTGTTGTCTAAACTTACCTGTGGTTCAGACGCTAGATTCATCTTGTATGGGTTGGTCTTTCCTTCTTCAGACACTAGTGGAGACCACATTTTGGATTCTGACCTAACAAAGAAAATTGGTCACAATTTGTATTATTTTGTTGGCAAGTGGGAAATACAATGAACTACTTTCATGTTCACTCTCCACATTTTATACATACAGTTTGGGTATGGGGGGGGGGGGATGGTGAAATGTTGTTGGTTCTGTATCTGACTTTCGTTCAATGTACACAGCATTACAGCAGATTTATAACACTAATTCCATTAAAACATTTAAAAATGTATTTTTGCAACTATTATTATTAATAAATTCCAAAATAATGACACCTTGAGAGAAGGAAAAACATTAACATTTGGACATGTTTATAACTTGTCTACAAGTATTTTACTTGTACTTAAGAGACATTTAGACATAAGGTATGATTAACTCCACCTGAGTTGAGAAGTGTCATTCCTCATGCTTTTGCATTAGTGACAAAGACGCATACCGAGGTAATCCGTCTCCTTTTCAATGACCACATCACTGGCAAACAATAAGATTGGTGGGTTGGCAAAAAAACGTACAAATGTGGTTAATTCTATTCATGCCTTTATTACCCCTTTGTGAGAGGATTTAGCAACCCATGACATCATGTGTTGAATCACAGTATAATTGAGCTCCCTCAGAAGCAAAGAAATTGTATGTCTGAAAACATGATGTCCTTAATCTCCTTATAAAAATATTTACAAAATACTTGTGGGCTTCTAATAACCTGTTTCCCTGTGCTCCAATTTGTCAAATCATGCTTATAGCAACATCTTCTAAATCCTGACTTGTCCTCGGATTCCCCCTTCATGTTCTTCAGAAGAAAATAATTTTAGGCTTCCATGTTGGCTTATCACTTTACAATTATGTACAATATTTCCGGTAAAATAGAGCTTATGGAATACAATAAGGCAAACTCATGAGGGAGTGTGCTGCTACCCATATTATAGTACTTGAATAAACAAAAAAAACATCACATATACAGCAAAACTAAAGTAAAATAAATAGAGCAGTCACTGACACTTAATATTCACAAGGGTTAAATCAGAAGCTGCACCATAAATCACCCAGTGGGAAAGACTAACTGTCTTCAAGCCAAATAAATAATGTTAATACATGCCCAAGTATGGAAACATTTTGGCCCTACATTAGACTAGAATGGAATGTAAAAATAGCATTGTGTAATGCTCTTCTGCTTACAGTCGGTCTTCATAGAAAGGTTACATACCTTGGATGCTTTTTTCAAGCTGTAGAAGAGAATTTGATTCTATGGTAGATGCACGAACAACAACATTGTACAAGACAGCTACAGGTACAACTTCTGTTATTCAAAATCTTCCAATAAAATGTTTTTCAATAAATGTAGTTCAGGTTTTATTATTGCAGGTAAAAGTGCCCCAGAAAACCACTTTATGCACATACATTTAACACGTCATCTTTAAATCAGGGCACAAGTTGCAAATAGGTGTTAAACCAAATATAACAAATTACATTTGTTAAAGAAGGACAAGAATGAATAATCTGAAAGGCCTCTGCGCCTGATAAATTGACTCTTTCTACTTCAAAGGGACTCAAATTATAATAAATCGTACATTTACATTCCCTAAACGTAATCTTTTGCACTTGCTTACCTTACAATTAAATTAGTTCAGGCATCTGCTTCATCTTTATAAATGAATGCCTTTATTATCAGTTTTTGTTACTGCATCTTGCCCCTCAAATTTGGCAGACTTACTACTATTTCAGCTTAGGTAACTGATGTAAAATAGACAGCAGTGGTTTCAGTCCTGTGGCACTCAAAGTGTGGTTTCTCTTATTACAACTATACTTTCTTTAAAGTAAACATGAAGAAGCATATTATTACTAATCTATGAACTTAAACACATTTTATATTTGCTTTAAACTAGTAAATAGACAATCTACAGTCTAATCTACTGCACAAGAATACTGGGCAAGGTTTTCATGCTGTGGGGAGTTGAGACTTCAGTCATGATCTGTCAGCTGCAGCTGGTTAAAATGAAGCTTAGGACGAACTTCATCAGCCCTGAATAGTGTAGCGGTCATGTCAGCTTTCATCACATTGTATCAGTTATGAATAGTCTTAACAATGGCCAAAGCAAACATTAGTGTAAGCACTTCTTAAAGTTAACAGAAGCTACAGTACCCGATAATTATAATTGACTATGTTCTAAACTGCTAGTCATTATTTCATTTCAGTATTTTACTACATCCGATTGAACAAAGGGCAGTTTTGACCCATAACCAGTTTTGAGTTTTGACTGTATATTTACATTTCTGTTTGAGAATTGTATTCCCACAAACACATACATGTCAGGATTCAGATTATTCTTCATCGTATTATCATAACAGAATTTAGAATGTTGGTATCCATTAAAAATAAAAGCGCTGACTTCTTTTTTACAGCATTAATATAAACATCTGCCCAGTATTCCTTAGATTACAGCTGAATTGCTTTATAAATCAATTAATGCTGTTTTTTTTTCATAACAAAAGTGTTTTGAAACAATTTATTTTCTAGATTAGTGGTGTGAATTGTGCAGCATTTGTAAATGCTGAAAATATAACCAGTTTCAATACTTTGATCTTTCATTTTGCAGTAGCCAACTGCATAGTCGGGGTAATCCTTTTGGAAATAAAACTGCATTGAGAATTTGCCTCAGCAAGATGCTATGTTAGGAATGTGTCCATATATGCCAACAACCAAACAAACTAGAGATATATATTCCCACTGCTATTACCGGGTATGTCTTCCAAGTAAAACGTGGCATTTACTTCACCCTGCACAAAATAACAAAAGCAAAACACTGCTACAAATAGGTGTCAGTTTCTGAATATAAAAGCAACTATTATACTCCACGGTTCGCTATTAACGTATTGTTTAAATCTCTGTGAGAGGTACATTTCACAACAAAACAAAGACTTATACAATTTTAGAAGGTTCTAGATAGGATTTTGCAAATCATCTTTCCAGGAGGTATACATTTAAGATATTCAATAAAGAGGTTTCTGAATCTATAACCAACAATCCACACTTTCCCTGCTTAACAACTTTTATGCAACTTTTAATGCAGTGTTAGACTATTTAACATCAAAGCTATGACTGCTGAATGGGGCAACTGGTAAAGCAGCTCAGCCAATTACAGCTTGAGCTCTTCAAGTCTGAGTGAGGGCAATGCCACTAGTCGACTGCAACTGGGATTTCCCAAACAGTGGTGCACAATGAATGGAGCACCATCATCAGGAGGATGGATTAGTAGTTCAGGGCTCACTCCTGGTGACACAACGGATAAAATAAAGCCAACAGCCTCATCCACTACTTTTTGACATGCATTTACATTGCAAAAAAAGATAAAAAGGTGCTAAAGTGATGTAAAATTAATACAAGTATCATCACAATTGCACGTAGGTCGCTGCGTCAGCATGGGTAGGCTGCAAAAGGAACAAGTAAAGGTTTATTCCATGCTGAAAAGAGAAGAAAGGAAACAACGTTTCGGCTGTGGAGCCTTCTTCGGGGGCGAAGGCTCCATAGCCGAAACGTTGTTTCCTTTCTTCTCTTCTCCACCTTTTCTTACTCCATCACAATTTCACAATCACTTTGTGTGCCATTTCAGCATCCAACATACCTATTTTTTGCACTTTCTAGTTACTGCATTTTTCCTGTCTGCATCAATTTAAAGCATTTATAAGTACATGTATAGCCGTCTTTAAAAAAGGGAACCACAGTGCATCAGCAGAATGAAAACTTGAGTCCAAGAAGGAAAATATTGATTGGAATAACACATTCCTTATCAGACAGTAGTTCCTGGACTGAAGTGGTGCTTTATATAGATCATAATGTCTAGCAAAGCTGTACCTACAACCCTTCACTTACCGGTCTACAGAGAGGACCATTTCATCTAGGCAGCCCTTGATCTTGTTCTGTGCCTCCAGGTGGGTCATGTTCTCAGTATTCTCCCCATCAATGGCCAGAATCATGTCCCCGACACACAAGTTGGCCTGAGCTGCTTTACTACCAGGGGTGACCTTTAACAGAACACAGGAAACTTCACCAGGTGAACCAAAGTTGAGAGGCTGGGGAGAAAATGAGGACTCTTGCAAGGGAAAGCTGTGAGAAGACTCAGATTTGTAAAAATATTCCCACAAGAATATATATACAGCAGATTGTAAGAGCCTCCTTTAAGAAGCATGGACGATGATGAGGGAGCATCTTCACTGGAGTATCAAAATAATTTGCCTCACATTTCTATATAGAATGTCTGCATAATGGGCAGTATGTTTCATAGAGTACAAAATATAAGTATAAATTAAAGATTGTTGATTGTTCAAAACAGTCTGTCGAGACATATCTTTCACGTTTTCCAGAACAAAATCACAAAACATCCTCAATAGTTCTAAAAAAAAATAATAAAAACATGCAGTTTAGCATGTCACACTACTTAAATAAGTGATGGCTACAGAAAAGCATCTACGCTCTTGACTTGAATGCACCTTAAGACAAATAGTTGCTTTCTGATTCTACACCAAGGCGTATTCCAAATCTCTGCTAACTGGCCCAAAATCCATCACAAGAGTTCACACCCAAAAATTCAAGCTCCATGAGAGTGGTTACAGTTGAAATTAAATTCTAAAATATTAAAGTAGTAGTAATAGCCTAAAGAAGGTACCAACATTATCAAGTACAGTATAAAATAAACCCAGAACCAAACAGGCAGAAAGTTATGAGCATATGGTATATTTGAAAATTATTCCAAAACTGAAAAATGTGTTAATGAGAAGAAATAAAAAAAATAACTTTTCTTAAAAACAACAAATAGGAACTGAAAATAGGAAATCGTACATATCATTTCTTCAGCATTTAAAATGTGCAGATAATCATGGAACTCCCCTATTATACTTCAAGCAGGCTCATCGGTAAGGCAGCTGCACTTTGAAGATGCAGATGCAAGATGAAAGCAAGATGCCTAAGTGGTTGACGGTGATGACATGCTCCTTTAATTATTATTCAAAACTACAGCAGTTTCTTAATAGGGCCTTCAAATATTTTACCTGTGACTCTGCTCCTCATCCAGTTGTTTTATAAAAGATTAAATTCAAAAGCGTTTTGAAAAGTCAAAATAACTGTGAAGTACTTGAGACTTATAGTAGAAGTGATTTGGAAATTTCTCATTATCTTTTTTGAGAAGAGCATTCTAAAAACAAAAGCTTGGTAAATTTACCATCTTATTTCTATGCAATGCCCTTATTAATAAACAAAGAAAACTCTAGACATGAGGTAATTCCAGAACTTTTTGCATTTGGTGTATTATTTCGACCTATTAAAATAAATGAATGATACTGAAGTTCCAGAAAGGCACATGTGCAAATTACTTAATTTTCCAGCTCAGCAAGAAACTTTGCACGGTGCTACTTCAGATTATTAAAAGGAATTTGAAATGCTGGTTATAGGCCATTACCTACTGTTATACAACAACTTGCATTATACAATTGTCCTTGCTGTGCTAGGAAGTAATAATTGTGATATATTCACATTACAAAAGATTAAATTCCAAAACATGATCTCCCGTTTATTTTTTACTGCAAAGGCAAATAATTTATGATGGATTTCCATTCTGAAATATTTTATTAGAGTCCAAACCCACAGAACGTAGGTATAAAAACAGGTGTGGTTTTACATGTATCTCAATTTTATCTTCCTTTTTTTCCTATCCCCTCTGCTGATACATGCAGTGCTGACGCACAGCTGCATTACAAGACCAGCCCTGACTGCAGGAAGTAGGTGGAGGAGTATAGGTTTGAACAGGAAAAGTGAACTTTTGCAAAGTAACATTATTTTTCACTAGTAAGCCCCATTAAAAACACAAGCCCTAACAAGAACAAAGACTTTCAACTCAAAACTAAAGGCTCCTAATTTTGCAGACAGTGGATGTTACAGCTAGACCTAAAGTTTTCTACTGTAAGTTTTGAATATTAGTTCTATTTCCAGGTTTACATAATTTACATAATTATCTGACATTTATCCCCACTCCACCAGCAAAAAATGTACTGAGACAGAAACCTTTTCTACTTCTCTTGTTATGGGAAGTAAAAAAAATAATATTCAATACTTCTTAACTGTAATATCAGTTGAGGTAGTGTGTACTTTCAAATCAAAACACCAAAAGTTGTCAAAGAAACAAGGATATTCACTGCTCATTTACCTGCTTTTTCCATACACATAGTGAACACCAACAGGTAAAAAATTAATAAGCTCTCAAAGGATGGACTCATTGATGGAAAGGTTACACACATATACTGAAAATTCTGCTCTCTGAACAGATATGCTCCCGTTTACACACATGCTAATGAAATTGAAATAGCAGCCAAAAACAGCTTGTACCCACTGCCTCTTTGTAGAGATACTGCACATCTAGGAAGGGGGTGTTGCACTTCCTGTTAAGTCAGGGTACTTTTTCCTGAGGTCAATAGAAGCCTCAGAGGAATGGTATCATTCCACTCCCGAAGAGAGGAAATTGCACCTTATTATGTTATTACAATGCATTTGAAGTTCAAGTTTTGACCAACCAAGTATACTTAGTTGCGCAAATCAACTTGTCAAAGGTACTAACAATATAGCGATACTGAATGTGCCGACTGTTTCTGGCGATTGTTTTTCAGTGAAAAGTATTAACATTGTATTTATTATGTCAGAACTGTGGTTTGCAATCATGGTCAGAATGGTGCTGTCAGGAAGAGTAAAAATGTAATTCAAGTTAATGATTAATCCACAAAATTGGGTGTGAAATGCGTAGCAATCTTAAAATGTCAATACAATTAGAAAACGCCACTCATCCAATATATGCCCTTACCTTGCTTATATTTCAAAACTACTAACTGACACTCACACGCAAAAACAATAAAAGAATTTGAAAATAACAGTTCTATAAACAAAAATAAAGCATTCTGGAAATATTTATATTCCCTACCAACATGTGCAACAGGCCTTACAGAACATTTCTTGTCCTCCATCATTACTAAAAGAAGGGGACTCTTGCAGGTTTTGCTTAATACAACAATGTTAGACAGTAACAACTGGATCCCCTTCTATCACCTGGTCATGGAAAGGCTTACAGAAGTGATCAATACTGGATGTTTCATTCTACTGACTTCCAACAAACAAAAAGTACAACACCCCAGTTCCAGTTTCTTAGCAATCTTTGCAACTGCAGAAGTTAGGAATCATAACAACATATACAGCACTTATATGAATAATGAATAATAAGAACAATTGTATAATAATTGCATATAGTATATCACCTATCATAGTACATCTCAAGTCACTGTACAATAAAACTAACCAACAGAGAGCTATACACAAAATAATACACTAAGCTAAACAGAAAACAGAAGCTCTTAAAAGCTAGAGTATAAAGGTGAATTTGAAGACAGGATTTTAAAGTGCTGACTGACTTGCAAGATCTGATGTGGGCTGGAAGACCATTTCACAGTCTTGGAGCAAGAGAAGATAAAGTGTGGTCTTCCAGTGATCTGAACTGAAAGAAGGCCAGAATCCAAGGAGTGCAACCAACACTGTGTGAATAGTTTACAGAGGCAGTCACGACCCAAACTGTTCAATCCCTTAAAAGGTGAACAGCATTACGTTGAACATTTATTCTAAAAATCAGAGTATGAATTTAAAACAAGCAATATATGCTTATGCATTTTAGCTCTAGTTAAATTCTGACTGGCTGTGTTCTGAGCACATACAGGTGTGTATGATACAGTACACTAGGTAACTGTTTTAAAAGGCAATGTGCCGTCAGCTTCATTACATCAATCAATTAATTACAATTCACTGTGAAAGAGTAATAATTCATAGCATAAAGCAAAAAAATTCAACACTGTGTAACTGTGGTTTCAAAATAGTTGTTTCACATATCATGAATGCCTTTGCATTAATGAAGTCTCATTGGACAGACCATACTCTTTTAATAAAATCAGTTAAGAGTTCTGAAGAAGGAAAAATTCCCCTGCTCCGAATGTCTGCTACAAGCTCCTACAGACAAGTGGCAGGTATCAAAGTTCAAAGCAGAACCCAAAGGAAACAAAAGGCTTTCACATTGTTTTATCTTGAACAATGTTTTTTTTAAGATAAGTAGAAACCAGTATGATACATTAGCGAAGCAGCTCCCAATATTAGCTCCACCATAATCCTCTCTGCAAAATCATGTTAGGAGCTACAGTATGTGCTACAACTTGTTGTAAGTATGGTCTATACACTCAAAATTAGAATATTAAAACAAACACAAAGGACTTCAGGGCCATGTGTTGAACATTTAACAGAATAAAAAAATTCACAGGATTTCAATTATTACATGAATGTTTCTGGATTTCATCTGTTAATGTGTATTAAACATCATGAATCAGTTTCTTGTAATGATGATGAACCAGTTTCTTGTGAAGAAAAGATACTGCAATGGAAAGCTGTCACTTAATTTCAACCAATATTTAAACAGGACTTGCATGTTTTAATAACTGGAGGTAAAACGAGCTGATATTAGTCATCTTGCCACAAAAATGCAAAAATGACATTGCTGCTGAAGAGATGAGAGATGAAGTAAGAGTTATCGGGAGTTTTGAACATCCTTTCCAAAAGAGGTCTAAAATTTAAATAAAATCAAATTAAATTTAAAATATTGTATGTAGGGCCATTAGTATAAACTTCTAAAAGCAGGTCACCAGGTCAGTGAATTCTGTCAAAGCACATGAGTGGAGTGAGTGCAGATTCAAAAAATGAAACAAAGTGTAAAAAAGCTTGCCTTTGTTTCTTGGGATGCCCTGAACAATATACTGTATGAGGACACCACAAGCCTTTTGTAAACCCTTGCCCCAGATAAAACAATGGTTTTCTTCACCAGTAGACTTTAGAGAGATCTGACGGAGGTACTACAAAATCGTGAAAGGTATGGATGACCTAAAGTACTCAAACAGGATAAAACATTCATGAAAGTAATTAGGAATTATGTATAAATAGTACCCAAGAATAC